CAAAGAAATGTCTCTCCTAATTAGCTACAGTAAGATCTAAGTAACATAGCTACAATAGAGACAAACGTGGCAAGTGCCTCCAGAATTATCCATCAGTGTACATCTCCTGTCAACGGCTGCATTCAACTTAGAAAAAAAGAAAAAAGTGCGATTTTTTTTCAATACACCTATCCACATTTTTTAATTGAAAATTTAATCTAATTGCAATTGCTTCTAAATGCACTGCACTTATGCATCAGCAAAACACATGTACTCAAAGGAAGTCAGATATTTGAGAGGATTAATCGATCCATCACGTTAATAAAAAACAAGGACCTTCCTTCAAAACTAAGGTAGCACACTAAACAGGCCAAAATGTTGTCATTAAAAATTCTTTTTCTGAAGATCACGTTCATAAGTATAAAGAAATGTAACAGCTAGTTGTTTTTATAAAATATTCGTATGTATTTTGCATATAAAATATCAACAGCTTTATGAAATAATTCAAAACCTATATGATTCTTTTAACGATTTTTCTGTCATTATTAACTAATAACCGGGTAGGTAAATTTAGTATTAAATATCAGAAAAAGTTACATGCCAAGTTTTCCTCACAACGTGATTCTGAGTATTAAACATTACAAAAAGAGACATTCGCTACAACCTTGAACGAGAAAGTACATTTCCCCATTATTTAAGCAACCAAGGTTTTTTGTTTTTTGTTTTTTAATGACGACTCCAAAAAAAGAATAAATGACGACTCAGCAGCCGCGAGTTATTACCCAACCCGGGCTCACAACCGCTCACGGCTTTAATGGCCCGTTTGTTAGGGCACGTCTGAAACTCCCCATCACTGGGAGGCGGCGTCTCGCAGGGAAAACCTCGGACCGGCGCGGACCGGCCCTGGAGGCGCGGAAGGACTGCAGGCCCGGCGGGCCACCACCCCCTCCCTGAACTACAAGTGCCGCCCGGCACCGCCATCAGAGACTGCCTCCTCCGCCACTTCGCAGAGGAAGCGTGAGAGCTCGCCCCCGGAGGTGATTGACGGGGCGTATCCTCCAATGGGCGGCGCGCTCGGTCCCGGCGGGCTGGGCAAGGGCCGCGGCACGCGGAGGAATCTCTCCTGCCCTTTAGTCCCGGGCTAGGTGTTGCGGCAGGCGCCATTTTACCGAGTCGCCTGTCGCGGGTGCCGCCATGTTGGTGAGGAGAAATCACCGTTACGGCCACTGTCCAAATCCCCGCGTCGCTGCGCGCCGCCCGCCCGCTCCCAAGCCTCAGCCACCGGCGGCGAATAGAGACTAAAGCGGCAGCGCCGGCAGCGCGGGGCCGTGGCCCAGTGTTTGCAGTTAGAGCCCCATCTCTCTGGCGTGGTTGTTAATAGACTGGAAAGTCTGTGTCTGTGTCGCTCACTAGTAACCGTGAGTTTTTACCACTTCGTCACCTCCCGGCGGCGGCCGGGAGCAGGTACCCGCAGGCGGCGCAGGGATCCTCCCCGCGCCCCGCCGCCGCCGGCCTCGCAGACCTGCCCTCCAGCCCCGCCCCGTTCTTGACCAAACATGACAGACTCTGAACATGCAGGGCACGACAGGTCGGGAACCCTTCTTGTCTGTCTTTCTGTCGGCTGAGAGGAGGGGTCTGGGGCGGCGGGAGCGGGCCGGGGCCGCGCGCCTCCTGCATGACTTAGACGTCTATGTGTGGCTCCATCCGTCCCATGACGTGCGTCCGGATGGAGAGCCCGGGCCCGCGGCCGCGGGGAGGCCGGTCCGGCCGCGCCCGCCTCCCCGCGCGGGGTCCTTCCCGGCCGGCCCCGCCCCCGGCCGCACGTGCGAGCCCCCCGCCCCCGGGCGGGATCGGCGGCGCCGGGCTGCTCCCGCGCGCCGGCTCGGGGCTGCGGTCCAGCCGGCGCTCGGAGGAAGCGGTTCCCGGTGCGGGGCCCGGCGTCCTCGTCTGACGAGGACCCGCCAAGAATTGTCAATAACTGGTGATTTATTTGACTACTACCCTAGTACACTCCTAAAAATAAACATTTGTGGATTTTTGGTCTTTTTCTAGGAAAATGTTAAGCAGCTCCTAAAGGCCGTGTATCTGTACAGGCTTACCCCTCGCAATTTGAAATGGCAAGTTTCAAATGTTAACACAAAATAGTTAGACTTTGCAAACCTGAGTGTAGCACAGATCTCTCCTAAAGTAAAAACTCCATGGATTGTCCAGTCTATTTTCTAAATGCTGTGATGTATCATTTGAACATTTAACTGAGATTCTGATTTTTTATCTTTACTATGGCTTGAGGCCCATTCGTTCCGTTTAACGGTTTGCGGGTATTTACTATTTTAAATAGCGCAAGTAGCATCCTTAAGTTCCGGTTAGGTTTTGAATTCATATTGATATCCATCTTAATCGTTAAAAAAGAAAGGGTGGGCTTTCATTCATTAAAATTGCTGGAACAAAATCCATTGCATCTGATTCTTATTTAGAATATTTAAAAGATCCAGAACCCGACAGTTACTCCCTTGTGAATAGCATTAATCAAAAGTATACATTGTACTCTAGGCTGTATACAAATTGCTGAAGTTTTACCTGTGGAGTAATGTGACCTGTTTTGGTAAAGTATACCAAACACTTTTTTTTTTTTTTTATCCAAAAGCAGAAATCACAAACATAACTGAAATTTGAAATATCTGGCAACTTTGAGAGGGATAAAAATGTTATTTTAACAACCTTCGTACCGTAATAATAAATGTAGACGGCCAGAAGGCAAGTTAATTAAATGTGTCGTAATTTTGAGAAAGTCAAAAATGCTCTTAAAAAAATTATGGGTACGTGAGCTTGCACTTGACACATTTTTCACGATTATTTTACATTATCCTGTTATTAAAATGAGAAAATTCTTGGAATGGGTTAACTAATAACCCGCGAAGTTTCCCACTCTGTGTCTGTGGACAAACCAATGATGGGGTTTTGCTAATGCAGCCTAAAATTCATTCTTTTGTGTGAAAGAAGGAAATCTGTTCTCTGTTAGTTCACAGAGGAATTTCAATATGTAGAATTATGTATTCTACATAAGGAAGCAACCATGTTGCCAAATTCAAATATCGAATTAATTTTCTAGTAAGGAACTGTGATGCCGGACTTTAAAAAGAATTTGAAATTTTAAAATACTGAATTAGAAATTAAAAATAAAAATTTAAATAATTCTTTGTAAGATATATAACCAGCTTGGTGATAGGAAGTAGGGATTAAGCAGTAGTGTATTTAGTCTTTTTTTGTTTTATATTAGGAGTAAGAAAACAATATTTTCTGGTGATTTCTGAAGCAAAAAGATTAATCTTTTTGTTTTAATTTATCCATTTGTTAAGTGGCAGTATTATTCTGAGGCAAGAAGGTTTATCTTTTTGACACTTTTTTTAGTCAACCTACATGAAAAACAAAACAACTATATCTAAAAACAAAGTGAACTAGTATTCAGGAGAAGTGGTTCTAGCTCCAACTTTGCTACCACTTAGCTTTGTGAACTTGAACAGACTTAGTTTCTTAATTGTTAGGAGGGTTGTATAAGAATTTTTTGACTTCTACAGGATCAGTGGTTCTCAACCTTCTCTGGGGAGGTTTTTAAAAAATGTTGAAATCGTTTCCATTGGTCTGAGCTTTAAGATTTTTTAAAGCTCCTCAGGTAATTCTAACATGTATCAAATTGAGAACCACTATGCTAGATCAATATTAGCTAATCATCAGAATCACTTTGAGGAATAAAGATTTTTGTCCTGTCCAGAGCAACTGAATCAGAATCTCTGGGGGGAGGGGGGAATCTCTAGGGGAGGATTGTGGTAATCTGTATTTTTAATGGGCTCCCTGGGTAATTTTTAAGAAATTTGGGAAAAAATGGACTAATCTGTGGAATCCCAAAATATTCTGGGCTTTCATATTACAGTTATTTTATACCGTGATAAAACTTTCTGTGAGTTAAATGGAGAAGATATATGAATTCTGGTATTTGGAGCTTGGCACTGTCTCAAGGATATTCTTTTTTTGTCATTTTTGAAAATTAAGATATTGGAAAAAAGATACAGGAAAAAAGTTAAATCTATGATTTTTATTTACAACTGCTATAATTATACAAATTAAAATATTACTATGGTGGCCTTACCTGAGAATGAGATTCTACATGTAAATGGAAATTCACAGAATGCACAATTTTTTCTCTTAAAAAATTGTTTCCTTGTACATGTTTTATGTGGCGAACATTTTGCATAAGATTTGTTTGCCAAATGAGTTAACTTTAAAAAAAAAACCCATTTGTACTTTCCTTTAAATATTTTCATGCCTGGAGTGAAAACATTGTATTTTTATAAAGTGTTATTAATATAAAAATACCTATAAATGAACTTGTGACTATGTAGACTGTTAGAAGAGGATTTATGCATAGATCTTTAGAATTAATTAATAGAGGTGGAGAAGGAGTTGGAGCAAGTCAAAGGGAGATAAAGTTCTTGTCTCTCTTTGCATTCAGTTCTTCCCTTTCAGCCAGTTCTTAGGCACAGCTCCAGCCACCTAGCTATACTTCAGCTGGATGTTGACCTAATTAAAACAACTCACAGATAACTCTTAAAGGCTAAATACTATGAGGCCCTGCTCTGGACACATCTACAGTTGAGAAGGAAAGATAAATATATGCCCAAGTAATTGTTACATATTTTTTGAAATATGCTAAAGGTAGAAAGTTTTAAGGGCCTACACTGGGGAAAAGGATAATTTTAACATGATCAGTATGAGAGCTTGTGATTCTCAGAGTCTAACTGATAGGAGGTATGGGTAATACTTTCCTTTGGGAGGAAGCTGTTCTTTGCCCATGATGAACAACCTTCCCACCTTCTTTCCCTCCTCTCCCCGCTTTCCTTCCTCATGTAAACCGAGATCACCAAAACTCCAGCTAGTCAGAATTGTAGTAGTTTATATTTCCCCTTCCTTTCCCTCCCCTTCCTTTCCCTCCCCCACATAGCGATTGAAACCTTACACCGGAGAGTATGAAGAGGTGAGGGTGAAGATGATTACACTTTGCATTTGTAACAGGGCTTTCCTTTGATTCGCACATTAATCCCATGAGGTAATATAGTATTGCAATGTTCAGTAATTTCTCTGAGATCCACAGGTAGAGCCTAGGTAAGGATCCAGAATGCAAACTCCTACCTGCAGTGTTATTTTTAACTCTTTATTAAGTTTGCATGGGGAAGTAATCCAGTAAGTTCTAGCCTTTACTTCTTGAATTGTTTGGGATTGAAATGTGGTATATTTAAGAGAGCTCCGTTTTCTGAATGAAACCTTGGTTCTGATCCTAGTTTTTCCTCTAGCTTGGTTAATGCTCTCTTCTTTTTCATGATTATTTTTCTTATTTGTGAAATAAGGTAGTTGAACTAGATTACTTCCAATGTCCCTTCCTACTTTAAGAAGTCAATAATTTTCATTTAAAAAGTTGCAGATGCCTTTTCTTACATCAGAGTTCACTTTGATGTCCTACACAATGTCTGGTTTTACAAACAGCCAGTCAAATCATTATTCTGTACACCTTAAACTTACACAGTGCTGTATGTCAATTATATCTCAATGAAACTGGAAGAATAAATTAACTAATTGCCTAGTGAGGGAAGGCATTGACTCCAGTAAACAAGAGATTGGTAAATTTCCCAAATTCACAGAGTAAATCAGTGGGAACTCAAATAATGACTCTAGAGCCCACACTTTTATGGTAGAATTGACATCTTCATCACATGAGAATGTATATATATATCAGAATGCCAATTTAGTCATGTAAAACGAGGAGTTTTTAAGGTGTCCTAAGTTAATTATCATTAAAATTATAACGTAAAACCACATAAAAATAACAATCTGTTTATAAAAGTGGTACAAAAATAAAGAACCTAGATTTAGAATTCATGATACTCAATATTATACATATGTTGCTGTTTATAATTAATGTACTTGAATTCATTTGGTCCATATAGAAAGAACAGATATTAATGTCTTCATTTTATAGTTTCGGAAACAGATTTAGAGGGTAAATAACCTGCCCAAGGTGGCTAAGCAGCTGAGAAGCACAATCTGTGTCTTACAGCATTCAGTTTCAGTGCTGTTTATGTTGCCTCCATTTTGTCATAAAGACAGGAAATCTGGTATCAGATGTTGGGTTGGATTTGGGACACTTAAAAGTGTTTTTTTTTTGGGTTTTTTTTTTTTTTGAGGTATTGATCACAGGCAATTTCATCGTAGTTCATTATAAATTCATCTTAGATGACAGGGTTTTTCTAAATCTTAAAACATTAAAAATTGAATTTATAAAGAATATTACTTTTTTCACATTATTTTAAAAGGGATTATGAAACCAGTTAAATTAACTTAAATCTACAAATTTTTAACTATAGAAAACACAAGTTTCAAACTTAAGGGAATTCATTGAAAATTCGTAAGAGGTCAGAAGAACCGTTACCTCTTTGCTTGGATTTTCCTTGAATACTTGCAGCTGACAATAAAATGTTAGATCACTGGTACTTGTGTGTGGGGTTAAGTTCTTTATAACCTCTACTCTTTGGCCTATAAAGGAGGTTGTAGGTTGATTTCTTTTCTACACCCTTGGAGTACATAGGAGTCTCTTTTAAAATTATGTTTTGTGCAAGCAAATGGAAATGAAATAGAATAACGCATCTAAGTTAGAAATACCTACATATTTGACTTTATATATATTATATATATACACCTTTTTTTTTCCCGAATGCCAAATGTCCAAGTGTGAAAACCAGTATTTGACTAAAGCTAGGGCTGAAGCCATAGATTAAACTTTTGAAATACGTGAATAAATCTGAAATATTGTCCCTCAAATTATTACAATTTATTATTAGAAATTTTAGTGATCTAATTTTTAAAATAGGACATTACAGTACAGTAACAATAATTTTCAGCACTGCCTCTTGTTAGGTGCTCCTGTGATTACTGTAATGCACATGATAGTGAATGGAGGGTCATTTTCAACTGAGATTAGTGGAATTCAAGATAGTTGTGGGAATTTTTTTTCCTCTAACATTTTCTTTTTTATATTTTTTTAACTCTCTTGGGCAAACATGATTGATTATGTTGCACATAACTGGAGTTTTTTCTCCTCGTGAAATTCTGAGGTAGCAAAGTTAACATTCTGTTTTTCATTTATCCATAAAAGATGTGAATTCCCAAATGGGATTTTTTTCTTGAAAGATTTATGGAATTAAATAATTAAAAACTAAACATAGTCTTTAGAAGTTATTTTGTTGAATGATGTCGATATTAGTATGCCAAATAATTGAACAAAGTTAGAATTATGACATATAATTTCTATTATTCTACTTTGCATTTTTTATTTAAATTTTTATTATTTGTCAGTTCAAAAGGGATATAATATTCTTTCTAAAGTCATCAGCTAACTCACTCTTGTAATATTATTACTCTATTTTTCTATTTGACTATTTGAAAATTTCTTTTGTACGTAAAATAGCTTTCATAATCATCAATTGTGACATTTTTCTCTTGCATTAATAATGTACGTTTATACTTCATCTAATTCATAAAATGTCAATATATAAAGCACACAAGGAGATTCTAGTTCTAAATTGTACCTGAAATACCTTCTTGGAAAATGAATATTCAGATACTAACAATAAATTCACTTGATACGGCCTTTTAATATATGACCTTGTTACACTAAACTAATGATCACACAATCCCTGATCATGTCACATTCAGGGATACCAGAGCTGACTTGAAGCAGGCCAAGGTAGAACGAAGAAAGGTACTTTAGTTGGATACTTCAGGCAAAGCCTATTTTGGATTTAAAAATATATATATACTCCTACCACACTCCCCAAATCCTGGAGCCCCAGTTCCTCGTATTATAGTTAATCTGGTTATCAGTTAATTTGGGATATTGGACACATATACCACGTATCCTTTTTGGATATTATTGGGTCACAGGCAGTTTTACCCACAGCTCATTATAGATTCATTCAACAAGACTTCTTCAACTTTTGTTTTGATATCATGATGTCTAGAAGATTGTTTTCTGGCTTTCAAATTCTAAGGGTATTTTATTTGCTGAGATTTGTTTCTGTTGGATTTCTAGCTTCTCTGGTCAACATCAGAGGACCTAAATCAAAAGGATAAATTGAAAGGGAATGAAAGTAAATGAATTTTAGCTTAGTGAGATAGCAAAGATAGTGAATGAAATATAAAAAAGAATTTTAGGGAGAGGCCTAGTGGTTAGCATTCTGGGCTTTCACTACCGTGGTCTGGGTTCATTCCCTTGTCGGGGAACCAAGATCATGCAAGCCACATGGCGGGGCCAAAAAAAGGAATTTTTTAAATGTAGTCTCAAAAAAAACTATGGCAAGCTAGTTCAGTTTAAATTATGTTATAGTCTCTGCTCATGGCATAAAGGATGTTTGAGGAATGGTGTGGTTTTCCTTCATGATGTTAAACATACAAGTTTAAGGATGTGTTAAAAAATTAATTTCATAAATTAATACACAGCAGTACCTATTCTAGCTGGCATTGGATGGGGGCAGGGAATTAAGCATTAACAAAAATTTTATCAGAAACCAAATTTGTGAATTTTTTTGAAGGAACTCTTAAAAAAAATACATGGCATGCCTTCCTGTCTTACTAAATAGACAGTTACTGATTTAGCTTTTTCTTAGTTACTTAGGATCGTCATGAATATGTATTGTCATCATAATCCCTCTGAATACTAGGTATTATACTCCATCTTGTGTCTTGCTGCGTTCAGGAGACTTTGGAAGTATGGAAGCTTTCACACAGACTGTTGTTGCTAGGTGTTGCTTAGTGATAGGATAAGTAGAAATACCTTCAGGAACAGACTCCAAAGTTAGTCTACCCCAGATTCCTTTCTGCTTCTACTTGTTTCAGATAGTTTTTCATTGTTATTCTCTGAAGGAAAATAAGAGAAATTTCCCGTTAGAATCCATGCTCCTTGGATTTATAACCTTTCCCAGTTTCTGTGGAAGTGCCTGTAGTCTAGCATACCCATTTTATTCAAATGCATGTATTTCAAGTAGATCACAAGAAGAAGGGAAACTTGGTGAGGGCTGTCTGCTAGGTACAGTGCTAAGTAATTACCTAACTTTATCTCACTTACTCCTTAACTCTGTGCTGGTAAATTGATTCATTACATTTTGTAGTTGAGGAAACTGAATATTAGAGGTTGAGATCATTTGTTCAAGGTCATATACCTAGAAACAGAATTTGAACCCACATCCTTCTGGCTCTAGAATCTTTCTTCTTCTGCCCTACTGTGATTATTTTTAAGTATTCAGTTTTAACATATCACAAGTTTAAAGCATTATATAGTCCTTTTAAGAAATCTGTTGTTGGTTACTTGTTTAACACTCCTACTTTAATTTCCAGGTTCAGGTGACCTCACTTTGCCAGAGCCCTGGGTTCTCATTAAATAAGAGAGGACTTTTGCCTGTTTGATTTTGGTTTGGGTCAAAGCCAACTACCTTATTAAGTATTACACATTCTTTTCTGGATGTTGGTGCTTAGCCTCGTCTTGTTTTAATTGAATGGCAAGCCTTAGTAATAACATAGCAATTTCCATTTCTTCCAACATTCCTCTCTTTTCTTTCCCTCTCTGACTTTGATGTAGAGAATTTCATTTGGTAGGCGGTTACCTGAACTGCATCCCTTTTTATCAGCTTGCTTGGAACCCTGAAATGAAATAGGGAGACCCATTTTCCAGCTCTCATGATTTGATCAAGTCTTTTTACCCCTTTTTTAAAATCTGTTCAGTAAAAAAATTTTCCTTTGAGCACTTAAAAACAGACTGTTCATTAAAAAGAAAACCCTATATCATCAGTCCACCTGGTCTAGCCTGGTAGCTCTGTTTCCTGACAAATATTAAAATAACTCCTGTGGAATTGAAGTAACTCACATTTACTCTTTTTCTAATTAATTTTTATTGGAGTATAGCACATTTACTTTACATGTCAGAAATGC